TTAAGAGAATATATACAAATGTTACTTGTTACACCAGATTTAGCCTCTACAGGTCAATTACAGGATAAACCTTCTTCGGAGACCACCTACACCCCTTGCTGGTACTCATTCCTAAACAATTTCTCTTTCAAACCCCTCAGCTCGCTACCTCTCTCACTTCTCAATCAATCTCGAACCAAAACACTTCGAATCAATCCCAATAAGAAAAAAAAAAAAAAAACATGAATTTCATCAACAACAACATCCAACTGTCGACAACCTCCTCCTCAAACCTCCTCATGGGCAGACATCAAATCCATCCACCCACATCACCACTCACACACTACCACTCATCACTCATCATCCTGCAACCAAACCTAGAAGACCTCCTCTTCGACCCGTCGGGTACCAATTCTCTGACAGCCGAGGACGACACTACCCAAAACAGCTCTCAAAGAAGAATCCGGAGCTCGATATCGAAGCATGGAACATTCATCGATGGAACACCTGAACCAATTCGGCCAGGCCGTCACGATTCGCGCAGCAGCATAATTGTTGGTTCATCAAAAACTGGTCGAGTACAGGTTTGGAGTGGACATGGATAGTGTTTTTGATGAAAATAGGGTCACTCTCCGAGATATATAGAGGAATTACGTGAGAGATCAACGCTAGTTGTGTTCAACCGATATGACAGGATGATGCATGAGAGAAGAGGAGAAAATTGGCGAATATGGATTGAGGAATGTGATAAATCGGTGATTCGGGCGTGGGCGGTACTTCGTGGAGTATGAATATGAATGCCGGGTCTCCAGGTTTGTGTAGAACCATTTTCCCATTTTTAATTTGCTTTGCATTATTGATAATTTCTAGTTTCATTAGTTTATTTGATATCATGATGACTAAGAATTTGCATAATGGTTTAACTCGTATTTAAATGTTCATGTGCTTGTGTGGTGTTTTGCACAGTAGTTTACCTTGAGTTTTGGAATAGATTTGTTTTTTGGGTAGGCATAAATGCTTTTTTCTCATTTGTATGTGTGTGTTTTCTAAGATAGAATATGTGAGTGTGATGTGTGCATGCTGCACAAGCAATATTTATAATTGCTTAGTGATAGTAAGTTGTGTTTATGGTGCAGCAGGTTTTTAAATATCAGCTGTTACGTAAGCGGGATTTTAGATTTCCAACACTTGTATTCACTGATATATTGTCCGATATCATCGATGTATGACACGTCACCATACCAATAGTAATCCCGATACCATATTTAAAATTATGGATAACAGCATTGGGGAGATTTTTCTGAAAAAAAATGTTGAATGTAGTTGTTTTCTACTAACAATATGTGGTGAACGATTGGTATATGGCACCCCTAATTTCCCTAATATTGTGTTTGATTGGGGATTTAGGAAAGATTTGGAAAGGAAATGGAAAAGAAAGGTGAAATGTGAATAAAATATACTTATATTTCACCTAGTTTCACACACTTTTCCCTTTCATTTTCAAATCCCTTTCATTTCAAATCCCTCAAATCCCCAACCAAACACAGCACAAGGGATCTTATGCCATGCTCGTGAATTGAAATTGTGTGCCAATTTATAGTGATCTCCAATTAGTTATGCTCAGTCACAATTAGCTAAAACTGTAAGGCTCGTAAGGTGTAAGGTTAGTAAATAACTTTTCTTATCAAAATATTAGCTGTCCACAGAGAACAAGTGATTAAGGAATTATAGCTGAAATTGGTGATCAAGATGTGAACATGTCAAATTACAGATTTCTGAATGCATCTTGACGTTGGAATAATAAGCACAGGGATTTGACAAATTTGCATACTTGTTTTACCTAGGACATAACTTGTTTTCAAATAGGTGACTGCTCCATTAAATGGAATTGTGGCTCTTGCTATTTATATCTATACAATAGTGCTCTTTTTTTTTTTTTTTTTTTTGAACTGGTAGTAAAAGCTATTTGACACTTTTTGAATGTGTTTTAATTAAAATTTTATTTATAATACTAGACAAACATTTAGTAACACTTCATGATCTTTAGCGACCTTCTTGAGTCTTCTAAACACGGTTAAATGCTGAACTCTTCGTAGATGTTCATTCTCTGTGAGTACAACTTGTGTACTCTAAATATGTTTTGAAACATTATAAAATGATATATCATAAAATATTACAAATATTTTGCATTCTTTACAATAAAATTATTATGTGAATGATATCTTGATATTTAAGTTATGGAATATATGGAATTTTCAATTTTAATTAGTGTTATTTGCATTTTTCATTATATTGATATATAATAAATTTATAAAAATATAAAATTTTACTGTTCCAAGCGTATTGTATCCTTATTATTTTAAAATTATCATGTCAGCATGTCCGTGGTTAATACTTAGTTCCTTGTAGTACTTAGTTCCATTAGGCTTAGTCAGGAACTGTAACCTTAAGATTAATGATCACTTCTTAGACCTCCATCAAATTGTCACATTATACTCAAGAGTATAATGCGATGATGGTTAAGACTATCAGCATTGTCCAGTAGCTCTACTAGCTTGTTCCATTATCACTGCCAATAATCATCATCATCATTTGGTCAGGGGCGGAGCACATATTGTTTAATGGGTTCAATTGAACCCGCTCAACTTGACTTCTTCTTTTTTTTTCATAAATAAAATCAAATTATTTAAAAAGCATCAAGTGATGCAAAAATACAAAACTAAAGCCACAAAAGGCCAAAAAATTAAGAAATCAAATCATCCACAAAATCTACAAAGGCCAACATATTCGGATCCACTGACACCGTGGACCTATCTATGAAGAACAAAAATAGCCAATCTCCAACCAAGACACCGAATGAGAAATCCCCTGAAAAGTTCATCTATTACGCTCAAGGTTCTGAAAAGCGGTTGCGGTCGCCGTAATGGTGGCGGTGGCGTCGGTTGCGGTTGCGGTTGCGGGGTGTAAAGGCTATAGCGTAATGTTGTGGTAACCGGAACCGTGAATTTTTTATTTTTCGCGCAATTGAAAAAACTTACCGATACGCACATTTTTTTCCATGATCATATTTATTGGGTTTTAAAATAAATATGATCAATTTTTATAAATTTTTAATTTTGATTCAATATATTTCATATTTTTAAATCACTATAAGTTGAGTTTTTTACTTTTATTTAATTATTAATGACTTTATATTTTACAAAAAATAATCACTAACTATTATATATAAGATAAACAAGACAAAAGTAAGAGAATAAATAAAAGTCTAAATATATATATATATAATATATATTAATCAAGCCAAATAGATAATGACACACTTATTATTATTATTATTATTATTATTATTTTCAAACAATATATAAATAAACACACACAAACAAAATGGTTGAGTGATAATAACTGAATAGAATAACATAAGTCTTGCAACTTCAACAAATCAATACATATTCTTCATCTTCCTTATTCTCTCTCTCTATCCCTTGTTCCTCACCTTCCTCTTCTCTCTCTATCTCTCTTCCCCATTTTCAATTTTTTTTTTTTTTTTTTGTGTTTTTTTGAAAGAAGCAATTCGAAACCGTTACGTAACAGCCGTTACGGCCATTACGGCACCGTTACGACCGCATATAGCAGCCGCTACGGCTGATCACCTGTGAATCTCAATCACACTGCAAAAGCGGCCGTAACGGATGGCGGTAACTACTACAACGTTACGTAACGGCGTTACGATACGGTTCGGCCGCTTTTTAAAACCTTGACACTCCAACCAAACCTCAAGCACATTAAGCACTAAGTAGCAAGCAACCATACCTTTCGTCTAGCCTTCCAACTTTGACACCATCAAAATTATTAAAAATATTTATGATGGCATCAAAATGATTTTCAAAAAGAAAGTTTATATAGAAAATATATTCAAAATGATATGCCAATAATATTTATGGTGAGTGTTTGTTTTATATAAGACTAACAAAAATAGAAGTTACATCATTCTATATATAATATTTTGTTTATGTATCATTATATTTTTTTAAAAAGTAAACGATCTAAGAGTTTTTTCTATAAGGCCTTTGGCCTAATGATTATGTAAGCACCATTTTTTGGTGTGAGATTGCAATTTAGACAATTTATCATTTGTGGTGATATTTCTTTTGAAGTTTAGGCTTGGTGTATTGTTGGACAGGTTATGGTTATTGAGCTTATATGTTAGACTTTAATTATCTAGTTTGATATAATTTTATCCTATTTGTAATTAATCTTCTACCGATTGCACAAAAAAGATATAAGTTATCATTCTTTTTAAGCATGATTTTCTTAAATGTTTTTATTATTTTTTTTCTCACTATCTTTACCAATCAATTAAAAATCACAATATTTGCTCAATCGATATGAAATAATGATATAATAATAACTAATTAAATGACCCACTAAATTAACTTTTGGCTATTCCAAGTTATGTCCATCACACCATATATATTCTGAAGCATACATTTTTGTCTATTTTGTGTCTTCTTTTAAAATTCTCAGGTTCTAGTTGAGGTTTGGCAAGAGTTAGCAAAGAACCCTTGTACTGAGAGAGAGGCGGCACACAGATTGTGGTTTATTCATTGCTTCAAGATTGAATACAGTGCTCTCTTTTTGGCCAATTTCGGCACTCTGAAGGGTTCAGGTGGCATCCGTTGTTGTTTTTTTTTTTCTTCCTGATTTTAAAATTCCAACAAACATAAGTTGAATGATACCACAAACCTGCTTGTTAAGGTTAAAGTTTTTGCTAGTTGTTTTTCTTAAATGAAGCAGCAGGACCGGTGTCTGCATCATTTTGTCATTACTTGTAATAGTTGGTTATTGCTTATGGTTCAGTTTCTTGTCACAAACTGCATGTTTTTCTCGAAAATTCTTTTCTATTTCTAGAAAGCACTTCATTTCTTGTTGTCAAAAGCCCTCCAAATTCTTTGCTGATGATGCCCTTAAGATTTTTTTTTTTTTTTTAATTTTTTTTTTTTGTCTTCCTTTATTTGCTTTTGACTCTCTCTCTCTCTCTCTCTCTCTCTCTCTCTCTCAAAAGAGTTCATGGTTATTGACCCAATGTTGAGAATATTGCTGCTTCAAATGAAAACACTTTTTTGCTAATTCTTTTCTTTTTCTGTGTAGTGATGCATTGCTGTTTGTCATACATTGACTGTAGCTTATAGTGATGTATTTCGTTGCTTTATAGAGGTGCATTACTTCCATTTTTCTAAAGGTAACAAATATGATTACCTATTCACTTAAAAACATGTTTTATGTTCTTATTACATGCATTTATGTACCACTTTTTTTTCTAACATGAAGTTGACATATTAAAAAAGCTAAAATCTATAAACAGCTTTGTCGACAAAATCCTAATAGAGAATGGTTTTTAAATAGAATCTCAAAACTAGGATGGTGCCGAGCAAAATATTAACTTTTTATACTTTGATTCATTAGCATTAAAAAGTGACTGGTGTATTTGAAAAGAGAAATTTCGTCAAAAAATTAAAACATTAACTCATTCTTTCTATTTTTTATATATTTTTTTATAAAAATTCAAAAATCACTAAAAAAATCAATTTCTAAACGAATTCTAAAAATTTTGCAATAAAAGTCAAGGAGAGAAGTTTGTAGGGCATGTTGTCACTCTATTTATTTCTATACTTCCGTTATATCTGCAAATAAAAGAACCCGAAACTCACTTCAACTTGCGTAATTTTTTTATAATGTGAAGAACAAGTTTATATTTCAGTTGCAAAAAAAGTGCATGTAACACAAAAAAACTGAAGGAAAGGTCCAAAATCGCTTCTCACTTGCAAAAGAAAAAAAACCACACTTATGCTGTGTTTGGTTGGGAGATTTGGGGAGGGATTTGGAAAGGGAAAGGGAAAAGGTGTGTGAAACTAGGTGAAATGTAGGTACATTTTATTCACATATCACCTAACTTTTCCCTTTCCTTTTCCAAATCCCTCCTCAAATCTTCCAACCAAACACAGCGTTAAACTTTATCTCGCTCTTGTGTGACTCTCTCTCTCTCTCTGGCGACTCTCGCTTGCCAGCTCTCTCTGAAATATCAGGATCCTCTAGAGTGGCCTTCCTGAAGTGATCTCCTAAAGTGGAAGATCTAACGGTTCAAAATAAAACTAACCAAAACGACGCCGTTTTGGCTAGTAATTTCAAAACAAAACAAAACAAAAAAAAAAAAAAAAAAAAAAAAAAACTAAAGCTTTTATTCAAAATTCCCTCCAGGTATAACACAAAAGCAGTAGCAGAAGGCGGGAGTGTCGCCGTCCAGTCGTCGCCCCGCCGTTGCCGCCGTCCATTTGGTTCAAATGGTGCTGACATTTGTTTCTCATGGTGGGTTGGGTTACTTGTTTGGATTTCTTCAAAACTAACAGATAAGAGGATACATGGGTTTTCTTTCTTTCTTTCTCTGTTTTCTTTCTTTATTTTCATTTTAACTTGTGTTTTTTCTTTTTTTTAGCCTTATGGTGGGAATTTGAAGCTTCTTTTAGGTTGGCTTCAGTGATAGAAAAAGAGATCAAAAACAGCCCAGAAATTTTTTTTAAGGGCAACGAGCTAGCTAGTGGGAGAGGGCTTGCACACCATGCCTTTGATTGGTACTATTTTCTTCAGTCACAAAAGGGAAAAAGAGAAAAGGCTACCCACTATTTTATATCATTGCTTGGCTTCGTACAAAAATTTAGTAATGTATGTTCAAGTTTGTACGGACTTTTTATAAGTTGTGGATCAAAATGACTTTGTTGAGTATTTCAGTCACTTTTACCAAGAGCTTATATGGTGGTGGTGTTGATTTTCTCAAACTCATATGAGTGTCAATGGTGCCTTTGAATGTTCATCTCTCTCTCTCTCTCCTTTTATGATTTCTTGCAAACAGGTATGAACTTTGAGATCTCATCACCATATTCAAATAGTATTGTAGAGCTTGTGCAGCGGAAGCAGTGTGGCAGCGACGCGTTGGGGGTGGGTGAGAAGAGCTCCTCCTCTCAGCCCTTTTCTTTTTCTCTCTCTCTGTAATGCTTCGATATATATCAGATCTTCAAATATTTTGAATTAAAGCTTTTAGGCTATGTTTGGAAGGGTTTTGGAACTTTAGTTCCACCTTTTGATTTGCCTATGGTGTTTGTTTGCAACTTTCAAAAATTAATTTCACGTTCACTTTTGAAAACTCGGTCGAATGTGGGAAAATTTAGATTAACCGGACGTCCGGCCGGTTGACCCGAACAATGCAATTTTTTTTTTTTTTTTTTTGCAATTGACACGTGTTAATTTTTATATATTTAACAAAAAAATATTTTTCGAATTTTAAAAAAAAAATTATGAGCTTTAATAGAATTTTGAGTTGTGTGTTTGGTTATGCGTTGTAAATTTTTGTATCAAATATCATATGTTACATCAAAAATTCATCACTTAATTCAAAACTCTTTTCAAAACTCATTAACCAAACAAATTTTTCATACTCAAATCATAATTCCAAAACTCACAAACTCAAAATACAACTCTTATTCTCAAATCATATTTAGAAAGCTCTACCAAACGCTACTTTAGTTTTGTTTTTTTGGAAATTACTAATCAAAACGACATCGTTTTGGTTAGTTTTATTTTGAGCCGTTACATCTTCCACTTTAGGAGATCACTTCAGGAAGGCTACTCTAGAGGATCCTGATACCTCTTTGAAGACTTTTTGCAATGACTCTCGCTTTCCTTCTCCAATCTATATATATATATATATATATTATAAGGAAAATGAGATTTTAACCCACAAGTTTCGTGGAACCTCCAATATCTCAATCTTTATTTTTTTTTATTTTTTTTTATTTAAAAAAATAAATAATCTCAGCATTTATTGATTTCTCCTAACCCATAAACCTTTTTGACTTCTTTCATAGTTATTGCAGCACTCTTTTTAATTTCTCCCATACATTGTGGTTAGTAATGAGATTGTTAAATTATTTTTATAAAAAATCTAAAAAAGATAATTTATATATTAAAAAAATAGAAAAATTTACCCATAAATCCTAGATTGTGGAAAGTTGAACCATTTAGGGGTTATTTGGGTGTCCTAAATAAATGTACTTTTTGTCTTTTGAGAAAAAAAAATATGGATGTTTGGATTAACTTTTTGACTTTTTATAGGAAAATGCGTATTAAAAAATTGTATAAATTAGTGTGTATGGAAAAATTAGGATCGAAAGTTGTGCAGCCGTAATTGTTGACTTTTGGTAAATAGTGTTAACTTTTTAACTTTTTGAGTAATTTTTTAACTTTTTGACTTTTTATGGACTTGCCAAAGTTAATCTTAGTCTATTTTGTTTGGTAATATTTACTGAGTTGATTTTGAGTGTATTTAAGTTTACATTAATATCTTTTGTGGGATTCATTTTTTCTAAATTGGAGATTGGTGTGTTGGTTGGGGAATTACCCACCAACGTTTCCCCAAAAATATTAACAGTCCATGAACACATCTACATGATTAACTTTCAACACCAACGGCAAGCTTCAAGAAAATTGCATATCTCATGCATACACAGTAACATTATATTCACTGTACAAAACCTGCCTTCGTTTCGGCACACAGTTTTGTTAGAAAAGGTTTTGAAGTTTTGAAAATATCTGATTTTTTCTTAACTTTGGTATATTTTTTAGGTGGGACTCATACATCAAAGTTGGCGGATCTAAGTGGTAACGCGTTCTATGTTGCATTGTGATTCACGTAGTATATTTGGTTGTTCAAAACCACTATCAGGTGAATGGAAAATTGAAGTCAAAGTGAGCTCCATGCAAATAGAGTTTTTGGTATAAATTCCTTAAGATTTAAATAAAGACTTGTCCCACATTGGCTTGGTAGGGAATTTTGTGGGTTTATAAGGCATGGGATTGTAACTTGAGGAGGGGTCCAAGGGACACCCCAAGTTTGTAGAAATGAGAGGTTATAGACAAATTGGGCTAGACCCATTAGACCCAAAAATAAACACACACACGCCGCCGCTGCCCGTTCGATCGAGCGGGCTGGGTGCGGGTGCGTGGTTGGATTGGGTTGAGCTTGTCCGGCCCAATACTTGTCTTTTTGGACAAAAAACATTTGAAATTTATTTTTCTAAAATTAAATTCTAATTTTTTAGAATTTGAATTTTGAAAATTGAATTAAAAAATGGACTCCGTTTTTTTTCCCCCCACCCGAACAGATTCAAATCTATGTAATACGGATTTTATCTGTTCAAATTTTGAACCCAACAGATTTGTCTCTGTTCATTCAAACCAAACTGATACCATACCTGTTCATTCAAATCTGTACCTGTTTAATTCAAATTAAACAGCCATCACTCCATCTATAAATAGACTCTCTCTACTGATTTTTCATTCACAATTTTCGTACTTCTCCTCTGCAATAAATCTCTGCATTTTGCTACAATAAATTTCTGTGAGAAAGAGTGAGTATAAACACTTGGTGTGTTCGTTGTGCAAACAATTTGTAATGCTGTTATTGTTTGCTGCTGATCATTTTATCCTAGGAGATAGACGCTCACAAATCTAAAAGCACCGCGGAGAGGACGAATTTGTCTTAAGGACACAGTATTAAACATTGGATTTGATCAAAAATTTGTTCAAGAAATTAATCAAGTAAGTTATTAATTTATGTTTTGTTTTATTATTTTTCTATTTCAGATTTTCACTTTGTTTTTGTAATAAAATAAAAATCTGTTTTATTTATTTTATTTCATTTTCTGGTTTGGGTTTTTGTAATCAAACATTCTTCATCTTTTCCTTTATTTCTTTTGTTTGTTGTTAAGTACACAAACTTAATATATTCAGAATACAGTGAAGATTGTCCAACAATCTTAAGACATATTTTTTTTTTTTGTGTCTTCATTGCATTTAATTTTCTGTGTTTTCACAAAGTGATATTCTGGTTGGAAAATACAAATAGTAGTAATATACTGTTTATTTTATTTGACAACTAGTAGTAACATACTGATGTCATTAACAATTGCAGAATATTTTGTGTTACAGAAAAATTATTGTGGTATTTTATTTTTCTAGTTTTAGTAACAAGAAAAATAAAATTATTTTGTGTTATAATTTATTTTTTGGTTTTAGTTACTAGAAAATTAATTTGTGTTTTGGTTTTTTATGATTTTTGTAATAAGATATTATGCTATTACAACTGAAATTGTAATTGGAAGTGGTACTCCAATTGTAACACCAACTCCGGACCCTATCCAAAATCATATTCAAGTTCCAATAAATCATGGAGAAAAATCGAAAAAATTTAACGATACTGAGTTTAAGAGATGGCAGTAGAAAGTGTTGTTCTATCTTACAATTCTAAATTTGGCCCGGTTTCTCCGTGAAGAGGCTCCAGTACTTAGAGAGAATGAAAGTGATCGGCAAATTGTTGCCATTGTAGACGCTCGGAAGCATTCTGATTTCCTGTGCAAAAACTACATCCTCAAAAGACTTGACAACATGTTGTATAATGTTTACAGCCTTCTGAAAACAATAAAAGAATTATGGGATTCTTCGGAGAAAAAATACAAGACAGAGGATGCCGGCATAAAAAAATTTGTTGTCGGTAAATTTCTAGACTTCGTTATGGTAGACTCCCAAATGATAATTTCTCAAGTTCAAAATTTTCAATTAATTTTGCATGATATTCATTCTGAAGGTATGTCTCTTAACGAGTCTTTCCAAGTCGTTGTTTTAGTGGAAAAGTTACCACCGGCTTGGAAAGATTTCAAAAATTATTTAAAACGTAAACGCAAGGAGATGATCATGGATGAATTGATTGTAAGATTGAGAATTGAAGAAGATAACCGAAAGACTAAAAAGAGGAATGGTAAAAATCTCATTGAGTCCAAGGCTGATGTGGTTGATCAAGTGCACAAACCATATAACAAAAGAGGAAGTTTACTGGAGATGGTCCTAAACAATGCGACAACAATGGCAATAAGAAATTCAAAGAAAAATGCTATAATTGTGGCAAGACCGAACATCGAGCTTCTGACTGCCGCCCTAAGATAGATTGCAGAAGTACAAGGAAGAAGACCACTAATCAAGCCAATGTGACAGAATTAGATTACATCTCTGACGGGGTAAATGACATCAATCTCTCTGCTGTGGCGTCTGAGGCTAATTTGATTGGAAATCCCAAGGAATTGTGGGTTGACACTAGAGCAACTTGTCACATTTGTGCGGACAAGAAGATGTTCACTACCTACAATAAGGCTGCAAATGGTGAACAATTTTTCATGGGAAATTCTTCTACTTTTATTGTGGTTGAACAAGGAAAGGTGATCTAGAAGATGACATCAGGGAAAGAACTTACCTTCAACAACGTACTGCATATACCAGACATCCGGAAGAATTTAGTTTCTAACTCTTTGTTAAGTAAAAATGGTTTTAGGCTTGTATTTGAGTCTGATAAATTTGTATTATCAAAGAGTGGTATGTATGTTGGTAAGGGATACATGAGTGATAGTCTTTTCAAGTTGAATGTAATGACAGTTGTACCAAAACTTGCTATTAATGAGAATAACACGTCTTTTGCTTATATTTTTTAGTCGAATTTATGGTATGGTAGATTAGGACATATAAATTTTGATGCTTTACGTAGATTAATTGGTTTGGATTATATATCAAAGTTTGAAATTGATCCTAATCACAAATGTGAGATTTGTGTAGAAGTGAGACTAACTAAGGCTCCATTTAAAACAGTTGAAAGAAAAACCAAACCTCTAGAATTAATTCATACAGATGTATGTGATCTTAAATTTGTTCAAACTAGAAGAGGTAAAAAGTATTTCATAACATTTATCGATGAATGTATAAGATATTG